AAAAAAAAAAAAGAAATTTGTATCTTGTTTCAGTTTCTAAACTTATCCTTTATCGATTATTTTTCTTCTATATGTCTATATAAATTGACATTTTTCTCTTTTATTTTCAGTTGATTCCTTTCTACATGGAAACCGAGAATTTTCTTCAGAAAGAGCTTTAATAAATACGAATCAGAATAGAAAGAGAAAAACGACTCGCATCCATAAAATTTCATTTCGAAAATGTATCCTCCCTTTTATACAGAATATTAATAAACGTTCTCTCGTGAGCCAACGTTTTCGTTCCATCTCGAAAATGATAAAATGGAAAATGGTCAACGAAGTGTCGTCGTGTATATTCAAAGTATATGCTCGAGATACGGACGAGTATCTCGTAAGGATGCTAATTAATTAAGAATCGAGGTAATTAATGGCCTCTGATACAAGTGGTGCCATCTAAGATTTTCATTCACCGGTTTGTATATCGCGAATTAATTTCGTCGAGTAATTTCATTAAATATTACATCAATTGGCCGTAGATGGGATGCCGAATATAAATTTCTCAGACTTTCCCGCTTTTTATTCGAATTATTTGAAAGCCGTTGCGTTTCTATGGCGGGTTTTTCGAACGAGAGATTCGCTTTATATAGAAAGTTCACTTGTGGAAATGTAATTTGGGTGGATATAGTCGTGTGATTTCACGATAGTGTTAATTAACACGATTGGATGCCACGTGGATGAAATTTAACCAACTTGGATGTTTCGATGATTGCACGTGAACCGAGGAATGAGAAATCTCGATCGATTGGCTAGATATACATGCATATGTACTTGTCTGATACACGGCTGGGAATATATTTGCATTTATGAAAGGATTATCAATACATCTTACGATTTCAATTTGTACTGATTATTATTAAATAAATGGATATTAATGTAAATTGATAAATTATTTGATAATTTTTTTTTTTACAGATAATTTTATAATAGGATTAAAATTTACAAGGTATGGAAATTGAATGAAAATTGTGCAAAGGTATACTGACGTAATTTTCTTTCATGAATTGATGTAAGATATTTTTTTTTTAACCGAAAAAATAAAAATATTTTATTTATAGCATTATCTATAGGTGATCAATTCAGAGGAATTGCAGTTATCATATTTAAATAACAATTTTTAACATTTATTTAAAATATATATAAATCCTCTTACTACTAAATTCAAAAATCATAATTCTAGTCATTCTTCGTTAAACTAAACTACGTTAATTTTAAAAATTTTTCTTATTTCCTATAAAAAAAAAAATCGGAAATTGAATATTTCCAAAGGCGGTTGCAAATCAGAAAGAATTGACACCTATAGAGATTTATAATATATATCGTATAAAATTTTTGAATAATTTTAAGGTATACACTTCCTTCTTTCCGATAATCTTCTCTCCTCGATAAGAACAAATATGCGATCGTGACTGGAAAACGCGTTCTTGGCGCGAAACGTTATCGTTCGCTTGAATCAACGTGTACACAAGAGCCATCAGAGTTTGGCCATTGTCAAGGGGCAACGATGCGTGCTCGCTACGACGCCAGACGTTCCGGAAACGTGGCAA